TTTTATATAATTTAAATTTGGTTTACAGGAAGCTTCTCAGAATGTCCATACCCAGATTACAGGCCATGGCAATGAACGAAGTCCAGAGAGATCCTCATGGTCGGTGAGGACGCAGACCCCCCAAGGACCAATACAAAATGTAGTTCCCCAAGGACACACAGGTACATTTACTCAAGATCCATTTTCAGTCTCCGTTCCTTTAAGTGGTTTATATTCATTGTATCAGAGAATGTTAAAACGTATAAAGTAAGTACGCAGTGTGTTTGTGTGTTGTGTGTTTGTACAAGAGAGAGAGAGAGAGAGACTGAATCATCGTCGCTTGTCTTTTACAGAAGTTTCCAGGAAATATCGCGAGTAGTGAAAGTCAGAATATTATGAGCACTAGAATGCAAAATCAATCAATTTTCTGACTATAGATATATTGGTTTTAATGCATAGCTTGATAACAAAACATGCGGTACTGAAAACATTACATTAACCTTATGAGATTAATGAGATAGAACAATATGACAGCAAGTGGCTTATAATCTATTTACTTTGAGATAATTGCGAGTCTGATTAAACTGTGCCAATAACAACGCCCCCCAATTATCCCTGAGGTATGAGCATATTGGACAATATATCGTTGTCTGTCAAACACAAAGTATTCAGACATTCACCTTGCTCACTGTGGCGTTTTCTTCACTCCAGGCCAGGGTAAAGTGTTTCTCCACTGCAATCACGGATTAACACGGACAATGGTTTTCACTTAAAGGTGTTTTGGGGAAGATCATTTCTTATTCATTTATGTTTGGATGGATATCAATATTGCCCCTTCTCACGCTGTGAGTCTTCTAATTACCAACCTTCCACCCACTGCTATTAAGTTATCGTTATCATAACAAACTATGGATAACCCTTGGTCATGTTTACTAGAACCTCCCACGGGGTGAAAAAAGATACTGCGGGTCTTATCCAGTGTATGTTTAGTCCTAAGTTTAACGTCCATGAAATTTCAAAGACCATTGTAAAGTGTGTGTTAGGTATTAGTCTAGTTGCTACTCCCACAGATCCGATAGACGAACCATAATGTTTTACAAGGAATTGTAATTGACTTTGTATTACAGCAATGTATTCCTTATTGCCAGAGAAGCAAAATCCGTTTGTTTGCTACTTCCAGCAAATAAGGCATCTTTATGTACAGGCACAGCGTGGCTGCATGTATAGTCATTATCTGTGTCTGTCGTTGTCGCTGTTGTGCACGTTTTCCACAGGTTAGGTTTATTTATGTCGGCTGTGCCCTGTGTGTTGTAAAGTGAATTTTAATAGCAAAGGGAAAATGTTGCTGGAGTAATTATCTGTCCCATTTATTTTCGCCATAATACAACAAAATCCGTTATTTGTGCCACCAGACAGGACGGATCACTACTGCCAGTAGAAGACTCATCAGCCGCATTCGAGGCAGTAGTTTCACTGTTCTTAGACCACTCGGATTTTGTCGGCCGCCCCTTGCTGCAGGACGACCTGGATGTTTACCGCGATTTGCCGTCTTTGTTGGAGGCATCGGGGAATAACCAACTGTCACTTAATAATTTATTTCTTTTTTTAGGTAATAATCAAGCTTTAATTATACTGCTCAACCATAAGACAAGTTTTGTTATATTAAAGGATTCTAGACACGTAAAAATCCAATTCTCGAATTAGTAGAAAAAAGCGTTTAAGTGAACCTCACCTCAATATGCATAAATGAAGCAACAGATCTGGGTCACGTGGTACTGTGACGACAATGAGGATAAAGGTCTTTGAGACTCAACTGAGCTGCAAGGTGTAAAAAAGAGCAAAATGTAGACTAACGCAACAGCGTAATCACAGCAAATGTACCACATATAGTAGCTTAATTTCCATCTATAATAAAATCATCATTTAAGTCAAAAATATTCTCGCGATTTAATAAAGTTCCAATATTGTAATTCACCCGTAATTCACCAACGGTATTTATTTAAAAGGCGGCTAACTGAAACATAAACTTAATTTTTATTATTTGTTTGTGAAAATTGCCCATGTCACCCTGTTAGTTTGGAGTCTAACATTCCTATGAAGCTTTGCCGGAAAAATTCTTCCTTTGTTTCTCTAGCTCCTTAATAAACCTGGTGTCCAGATTTTATCTAGTTCCCCAAGGTCTGCGGGAGCTGCTATTTGAAAATAACGCATATGTAGAGTTTTTACCTGAGATAAATATCGCCAGTGAGAGTGCGTTCAATACTCTCAAGACAAAGGCTACAGGAGAGTTGAAGGCCACTTAATCCTCCAATTAAGAGGTAAAGGAGGTTCCCGTTAGATGGACGATTAAGATAGGAGTTTGAAGGTAACAGGCATTGTTTACCTCAGTTTAATAAAAATATGCATGACGGGGTGTCAGAACAATGGTGCGTATACAATTGATACAGAAAGTGACTTCAACTCACAGAGGATTTTTTATTATATTCCGTGAAGAATACATTAAATTTATATAAAATAATATCATGGTTGGCCAAAAAAAATCTGTGCGCACAGTGCATAACTGCGTATGCCTACTGTAGTTACGCCCATGCATAATTTACTGCAGATATAGAAACTGGAAGGTAAACAGACAAATAAAAATTAAGAACCTGTAAACTATGTATTTTAGGTGACATTGAGGATGAATTTCATTTTATTCCTTTAAGAATTTAATTTTTTTTTTTTTTTTTTTTTTTGCTATAGAACGATTAGGCAGAAATACATAAAAAATATATTAAAGAAAACAAAGTTGTTTCAAGTTAATTAAATTGTTATCCATTAACTATGTTTCACAATTAAACAAATTATGAAAGTACTTAGAATGTGCATCGGAGCTAAGATTAACGTCAGACTAATGACTTTTATCATTACTACTAGTAGTTGTATTGTTGTTGTTTTTATAACTTTATATTTTTATTGCATTTCATTCTGATGAGCAATAGGGCGCAACGGTTTAATGAAATGAATTGAATTTTACAAACACTCATATGAAATGATCAACAGTACCCTCAAGCCATTTGAATGCAGTGTTTTATACAACTTGGGATAACCATAAATAAATGCTAGTTAAAGAATTGAATAGACGGGGAATGGTTTTACACAGCTTCACGAGGATTTAGATATTTATATTGTCCATTAACTCGTAGGCTAAGCAAAAAGGACGTTTTTTAAAGTAAAAATTTACAAAATGAGCTTTTAATTTGTGTATTTGGATTAAGATATGTTATATGGGCATGTTTTCTGAAGAATATGCTCCGTTCAGGCCATTCCAACGATCTGACGAAAAACCTTTAATTTATTTATGCCACAACTTTAAAGTGTGTTATAAGACGGCTGTGACCATTGCCTGCCACAAGTCAAATAGGCCATCATCCGCTAAAATTAATGTGACTATCTACACATGCCACGAGTTAATCTAAGTACAGGTATTACCTGCCACAATTTAATGTAAATATCACCCCAAGTTAAACCGCCACAAATGTATGTGACAGTAACATGCGAACATTTATACACAAAGGCAATATAAAATCTAGTTGTGTTTAATAGACTTTACAAGATCTGTATAATAAGTCTATATCCAAGATCAGAGAGGATATTGCACCAACGCAGAGCAGAGTTAAGGTGGTTAAACAGCAGGCTGAATGGTTTACATCTGAACTCAGTGAAGAGAGGAAAAATAACATCAGGAAGCTAGAATGACAGTGGTGCAATTCAAAATTGGAAATACACTGGGAAATATTTAAAACTGCCAGAGCTAACTATCACAGCTTCCCTGAAAAGCAAAAAAAAAAATGATTTCCATCGGACCTGTATTAGTGTGTTATCTCCGGTTCTCCTGAGTTTAGTAAATCTGTCTTTCTCAACAAGTATTTTTCCATCAAAGAGTGTTGATTTTAAATGGTTTCCAATAAAAGTTTTAGATTTAAATATTGTAGTCATTTTAATGATTTAATCTATATAATCCATTATTGTAAGGCGCCTTGAGGTAGCATGTAAGGTGCCATATAAGAAGCTTATTATTATTATTAATACGGATATTTACGGATATTTACGGATTAATACGGATACGTATTATTAATACGGATACAGCATAAAAATATGAGTTGAAGAGGAGGAATAATTTAAACAAGTGAATTTAGGTACTGTAAAATCATAAAAGAAATCCCCCTTTATTGCAAATTCGCTGGAAGTTATTAAAATCTGTTCTCATCAAACTTCGGTTATAGTGTAATTTTTAAATACATGTTTTAAATTCCATTTTAAATGGCCCGGAGAGGCTTGACCGCGTAGTAGAAGTGTTGGCTAACGTCATGCATTTGATACACCAAATTTAAGATAATTGTCGAAGTGTGTTATAGGTCTACGAGAATCTTTACGTTAGGCAAGTCGAGTGCAAAAATGATGACAAATTATTGTAATGCTGGATCTTATGAGTTGTAACTGATGTCGCGCGATGACAGTCTGCGTGGGATATGTATTATTAATCTCCGTTTCAACATAAGATCCAGTATAAGAATAACATTATAACATAACTGGATAAAGCAAATTTTCACTTTGAGATGAGGTCACTTTAAAATGACTTAAACATGATGGAGTAAAGTCATCTCCACAGAAGAGAAAGTCAGGAATTTAGAAAAGCCAAGAATTTAGAAAAGTCAGGAATTTAGTCAAAATGTGACAAGGGAATTTACGTGCACGCTGATAGCAATAGAAGAGTCACTAAGATGGTTTCTCAATAATATGAAGCATGCATAACTTTAGCAAACAGTTATATGAAATATTTGTTTATCTATTACAACGAACTGCATGGAAGCATCCATGTGCCAAAGATGGATGTTTACTTTATTTGTGATATACAATCCTAGTACAATGTTTATGTTCGATACAAATATATTCAAATATACATTTTTTATATATTTAAACATACAACATCAATAACAAAGCATGTCCTCTTTACATAAACAGACACCAGCTGTGGAAACATGGCAACAGAGGACAGATCGCTGACGGCCCCTCATATACGACAGGGCTACGAGATATTGCCCATCTCCCAAAGAGATCTAGCAACAAGGCAAACCTCTGTGCCTCTAATTTTGCCGAACGACTATCAGTATGATCCGTCTTCAGTCAAGGTAGTTAAGCGGCCAGGTGTGATAAGAACCCACCTGGTCGTGGTGGACGAGGCACTGGAGCTGCTGCGGGACGTAAAAGATCCGGTCAGTGTAGTGGGGATTTGTGGAACAGCTCAGAGCGGAAAGTCGTACGCTGTGTCAAGGTATGTTTAGGCTATGTTCAATTTATTATGGTTCAAATTTTGATTGGTTGACAGCAGAAGCCGTTTGGACTACAAAAAAGTCGGTGACAGCTACATGTAGACCAATGTACAACAAGCCATTTTGCACAAATTAAAAATAATTCAACTTTCTGGTACGGGTCAGAGTACCCCTTGACGCCAGCAAATATCAATAACACAATATTAAAGTTAACAATTACTTTATTTGAAAAAATCAACCAAACAAGCATAATTTTACAAAAATAAACTTATCTCAAATTTTCCCTATCTCGTTACTTAATAATTGCCCTTAAAAGTTTCTCACTCAGACTGCAACGGTTTTTCCAAGCGCATCCGACAGCAATCTAACATGCACCTGTACACAAGTACAAGAGCACACATCATTTTCAAGTGTGCTTTATTTGAGACCACTGCTTTTAAAGCTATTTCACAAATTGGGATCATTTAAAAGCATCTGTCCTGATGTCCCTTTGATGCATTTACGGTATATTATCCATTAAATGGGTCTTTCTCAACTTACAGGTTGGCTGGCACTCACGATGCGTTTGAGCTTGGAAATAAAATGTACCCTAAGTCGTCCGGTATTTGGATGGGAACAAAGGTTCTGAGAAACAGAGAGAAAGGATTTGTCACTATCTTGTTAGACAGCGAGGGAACTGGTAAGTAGAAATTTATGTCTCTCTTGTGAGTCAAGCATGGAGAAGCGCAACGTACGCGCTACGTGAATATAGACATTATTTGGGTGTGGTCCATATGAATTGTTACAGGTCTACTGCAGACACAATGAGAGGCTTTCTAAGGCCAAAGTGGTCAGTATTTCAATTTTATGTCCGAATATAATTACTCAGTCTAAGCCTGCGTTTTTGCTTGTGAATGCTACACATACTTACCCATTATCCTTATCAGTGCTTGGAACTAAGAGTACCAACTTCTGAATTGGTCTTTCTGCAAACACAACTGAATCTAATCTGGTTTAACATTTGCTATTTGCCACTCTGCCGAAAGCTGAGAATTTCATACCAATTGTGCAGGTTCTTAGTATCTGTCACTAAATTATTCTACCCAACTATTAGAAGATACATGTATTTCCAATAAGAATTTTTTTTTTTTTTTTTTTTTTGACAGATGCCGTTTATCCCGAATACGCTGATCATGGCGGTCTACTGGTGATGATGGTGCTGCTTACGTCACTGCTGATTTATAACACCATGAAAGTACCAACGAAGAAGGACCTAGTAGAACTCAAGTATGAATTCCGTAAAAACAAATGAATGTTTATCATTGAATACACAGCATAAAATATTTGACAAATGATCCAATTTTAGTCTAAATACACGCATATTATAGCTTACTGCTACGGCTGAAAAAGAGTATTGTACTTCCCCACAGTCTTGTTCCCCACATTTCACCAATGTATCTGTGGCAAAGATGGTGAAGTCCAGACGTAAACTTCTCGTTGTATAAGTTGACATGCTAGTTTTTATGTGTCTGATCTGGTTGTAAAGTGTTATTTCATATCATAACTAATCTGGCGTGGCCTTAAAGATTAACTAGTCTTAAAGCGTACTGGCTTAGTTTTTAAGATCAAAATTGATCTAAATGACAGTGAGTGAGATTATTATTAGGCTGACATAAAACAAAATATTGAATGCTGCACCAGAACAACAAAATCTTCCTTTGCTTTGACATTATATAGCCGCCCCTCAGCAACTAGGCAATTAGCACTCACTTGATAGGAGGCCACCCTTTACTCCTCACTCAATGACCGTCTGCTTAGTTGCTATCTTCACTTGTCTGGATGTTTGGACTGAATGTGTAAGGGATGATAATTTCACCATTGTTCTGACAGTTTGGGCGCATCACAAACAAAATATATTAAATAACTTAATTATAGGAAGCAAATATGGTTTAAATGAGACTAAATATGCAAAGAAAAACTAACTATTTTTGCAGCTTTTATCACTTTCTGACAAATGTTTTGACGGCCTTTTTCTTGCTACAAGCTTAAGTGTATTCCGAGTCCTTCTGATAGGATAAACGTTCAAAGAAGCTCTAAATAAAGTATACCGGGCGACTTCTGGTCGTTTTTCTATTTTTTTCTTCATAATTTGACGGCCATATTGAAAAATGTTCATTGTCTTGTAAGTAGCAACCAAGCTAATTTTTCTTCTCTTGACCTGAAGAATACCTTTCGTGCTGTCAAACGTATCATTTTTGTCAATATCTTAAATTGTCACGCTAGGTAGAAGCTACTACTCTTTACTATTCTTTCATCTTATTTATGAACCACTTTCCAGTTGATTCCGTGCCGTTTCTATTCGTTTGTCTCTTTACCTCTTTCAATCTGGAGCAGCCTTCTCTCCGTTTACATTGCATGGAGTTGTATAAGTACCATATCAACATGCCAATCAACTCATTTACTCTACAAAACACTCCCCGCTCCTCACTCACTCGTGGTTGTCAATTACTAGCATCACACGCCGTAAATACACAAGCAGAAATAATTGTCTTGACTAAATAAACATGGGTCAAACTTTTTTTTCCTGAAATGGCGGGTGTTGCCTTAGTTCTTTTGAGTAGCATATTTTTTTTTATTCTGCAAATTTATGAGGAAGATCTACTTGTCATTTTTCTAAAATATACAAAAGAAGAATTTATTTTGTATTTAGAGTCCTTACTGACGTTATTGGTAAAATTCGGGTAAAAGAAAATGAGGAGGTTACAGAAGATATGGGGGCACTTCGCAGGGTGTTTCCAAACTTTATGTGGCTTTTACGAGACGTCTATTTGAAGTTAGTCCACCCTGACACTGGAGAGGAAATGACACCCTCTGACTACGTGAAGGAAGTGGTGAGTTTACAGACCTTTGATAGCGAATATTCAAATTGAAAACAGAAAATAAAAAAAGACATCAAAAATAAAATAAATAATTCGTAAATATGACGATTATTTGTTTGTTCTCAACTTAATCCTACGCTTAATAATCAAAAGAGCGCTTGAAGTGCATTTTTTTCTAATCACCTAACAATTTGGTCAAAAATTCTCAAGGTCTAATTATCATATAATACATTGATTTTGATCACAATTTATCATCTTCATGGTCATCCATATTTCATAGCTGCATAATAATCTCACATGGCGTTTTAACAACAGGTTTTCAAGAAAGACACTCAGAAAAAGGAAGAAACCGACCAAGAGAAGATAGGGAGAGCCATAATGACGATTTTTGAAAGGGTGGAGGCATTTACTCTACCTTTACCAGGAGGTTCAGATGTTGTGGAAGATATTGTAGCAAACGCTAATAATATTGAACTCAAATTCAATGAGAAAATGAAGGAGTTTATAGAATACATCCTGTCTGATCTAGAATGCAATAAAGATATGACTGTGAACTCTAAGATAACAGGTAAGGTGTTTCCTTGGATTTATTTGTTCATTCCATTTGGAAAATAAAGGCGCAAGGTTAATGCCATCCAGACTGAAAATTGGTCTCAAATTTAAGTTTTCGGGTGCATTTAAAGGTCACCCTTTTTCACATTTTGTAGGAGATCAGCTTGCCACAATGTTGCAGCACTATGTTCAAGCTGTCAATGATCCAGACGATGTACCTGTCATAAAGAGTGCCTGGGGTGCTAGTGTAGAGTTAAGGCACAAAAAAATACTGGGAAACATGGTGGTGAAGTACAACACGGAAATGGAGGTACGTGAAATATGTTATGTATGTTTAGTTTACGTAATCAAAAGTTTCAATAAAGGACAAACACAAGTACATGTATGGAGTTTACTGTAATAAAATAATTGACTTGATTTATCAGGTAACATTAGATAACATTTGTTTATAACGATTGTGTGATGTGTAGAAAAATTCTCATTAAGTGCCAGTTTTTTTTTGTTTTTTTTTTAAGCACCAGACAAGGTGAGGGTTCACAGAATGTGACCTTATTGGGCTGAAATACTTGCCTGGGGACCCTTTTAACTTCTGCCAAACGTTAGGCCCCAAAACCGTACTTCAAGGGATTTATGCCCAATTTTCAATTTTTCCGGCTTTCGAAGCAGATTTTCAGTCAGCAGCCATGCAACTCATATATATGCTTATTTCCCCCTTATCTAGCTATATATTTACAATATTCCTATATGATATTTTTATCAATCAATATTCTTCCCCCCAAGACATTCAAACAAAAATATCACCCACCTAGTCCCCGCTGTGCCCACATTTTGCACCCCCACCCCCCAAAAACCATATTTGAGCAAGGCGATTTTCAAAGAGTCATATACCCACTGGTAGAGGTCCTATGACTGTAAAACCTATATGTGTTTTTAAAGGAACATTAGGGTGATAAAATACAAAAGAGATCTTCGTGGACTTTTATTTTGTTGGCGATATATTGATGTCTGAAAATGTAAGAATTTAGATTGGTGTTGCTCTTGTCTTGGCCAGTAATACCTGCTCACTTCCTCTAATCACGGTAATTTTAAACAGTATACTTTACAAAAGAAGGTAATGTCCCTCTGTCAAAGCCTACTTTTGAAAATTTAAACCTCCAATCTTATATTTTGGTCATTATTATCAAAAACAGATTACTGAAATTTATGTAGCACCGGTCAAGATGTTAACCCTTTTCAACCGGCAAGTTTCTATCCTTTGCTCAAGTGCTCATATTGCCATTGTTCAACCAGCAGTGCATTTTCTATAATGCTATGACATACAAAATTAATTAAAAATAAGATTAGTCTAAAATCTTTATTAATTGAGAAGAGAAAACAACAAACAACCCACGTTTTTTATATGTTATTTTATAGAGAAAGTAAATGTCCTTCAACATGTTCACAGAAACTTCAGACTACATGTAGTACACGTAGTCTACTTATTATCAAAAACAGATTACTTCTTCAACTAATAAAAGTGAACACAAATGGGCATCAATCAATCACTTCTTCAACAAATAATATTGAACACAAATGGGCATTAATCAATCAACTAACTATTCAGTCTACAACACAATCATTTTCATGGGATATGTATGTATAAATAAGTGAATTACTTGAAAGCATAATGATCAAAACTACATACAAAAAATACTTATAACCATAATCTCTATAGGTTATCTATAGATAGAAGTCATTTTAACTAACATTCCCATAATAGTGCTCTTGTCTCCGTAAGTGAATAAGAAACATGCAAAGTTTTGACTCATGAAAATTTTTAGATATTTTTTTCAACTAAAGAAAAAGACAGAAACACTTGATTTTTATTTTTCAAACACAGCAAACCAACAGAACTTCAAATAATCCACTTAATTTTTTGCCCTTTAAGAGAAAAATGAAAATTGATGTGAAAAGAACTTATATCATGCCATCATACCCCCTGGATTGTTTTGAACTACCAGTGCTCAAGACCAGGGCAATGAATTGCTACAAAATATGTCATACTGATCTTTGCTTGAAAGATTAAAATATTGATATCCATTATCAGCGTTTTAGTAACATGTGCTCAATTCAAGGTTGCATTCATGAATATCTTCAATGAAATGAAACAAGACAAAAATCTCCTTTATCAAAAAGATAATCCAAATGTATCAGCTCTCAGATTCTGATGAAGTTCCAAGAAATTGCTGCACTTTCTAGGGACTCTTCTTGTTTCTCCATGACTGACAAATGCTTTATCTATCAGGTCATTGGTGTCCTCCAACCGTAGATATAACACTTTTTCAAGTAGATAAATGTGAAAACAATATACTCCTTTCGGCAGTGAGCCAATCCTCCTCACACTTCCTTTTTTTCAGCCCCTGGATTAACCACTTTATTTTTTTGTCATATTTCCTGGCTTTCTCTGACCAGTCTTCTAACATATTCTACCTGAAATAATAAGGAAATTTCATTCTCCATTTTATTAAATGGGTTTAATCTTCAACTGACAAAACTTACCATGAACATCATTTAACAACAAAGCTTTATTTCATATATTTTAAGTATCAAAATCAAATTAATAATTCAGCATGCATTAAAACTTTTATGATATCCAACTTGGGAACTAGGAAGTTTTATGCTTTATCTTATTACTACTGCACATTAACTAGTACATTTTAACAAGACGAACATGATAATGTCCTTTTCAATCCTCTGTCTAATATTGATTCGGTGAGCACATTAATAATAAAAGGTTTAATGTAAGTTTTATGTTAGATTAATATATGTAAACATTTGTATTACCTGAGACCTCTGGACAGAAAACTTCCCCATTCTTCTGATAAAAACTGGATCAACTGTGCGTTAAAGCTCCCGTTAGGTCCAAGGAAATAACTGTTGATATGTTCTTGTGGCTACCCAAAAGACCACAGCATGTGACTATATGCTGGGCAGATGACTGAGTCGAGTGCACTCCACATTGCTTAAGAAGATGAAACTGATCTACACCATACGTGATATGCACGACGCAGGCCATGGTCCATTTTCGGCATTTGTATCCTCTTATTCTAGACGTAATTCAAGCATGGAGAGGTGGCCCATACATCTTTGTCGTATCTCCTGAATGTCACACCACTTTTTTGCCTTTGTAATTGTCTACTGAACAACAACGCACAGTGCATGTGCTGTTTGCTTCTTGAAATTTGGGAAATCTGCAGCGTGCGCCTTCCTCCTACTTGAACCGACCATTACCGGTTTCACGAACTTAGTTTCGAATGCAAGGTTAACCAGCACTTCAACTTCGTATATATAATTTCACCCGGAAATGAATTCATAGAAGATACCAGAGCTTATTTTAGTAATGTAGGCACTGATTCACGTTGGAACTGACTTAAGGGGACAGATAGGGTTAACTACGCTTAAAATCATGTTTTTGAGTTTTTTGTGTGTTTCTATTAATCAAAAAAGTATCTAACGTTGGCTGTAATAATTATTTTGAATTTGCACCGCAAAATGTGTCTTTTGATGAGTTTTTCAACCGGCACGCGCCCCAGTCAGGCTGACAACTAAGCCACGCCTCTGTTGCTAAGGGCCGTTGCCATGAGGGGGGCGGAGCATAGGTAATGAGTTATAAGCCGATTACGTGTGCGGTAATAGGTCATAAGTCTTACATCAGCTAAGCAGTGAAGAAGTCGAGTACGCTATGGGGAAGAGAAAAGTTCGTGGCATCCGTCCGGCCCAATGTCTTGCTTCTGTATAAAAAAATTACAAAAAATGAATNATCCCCGTCTTTAATTGGCCTTTTGGGAAGTTTGTTTTAATTTTTTATTAAAACTTACAAGCCCAGGGCTTTGTTTCTATGACTTTGGTCCTTTTACTATAAGTCCCCTTAAACAGTCTTTAATGAAAATCGAAACTCCGGGAAGCGAGATTTGACTGGTATGTTTTACGATGAAATAGCCTGAAAATAGGAAGATTTGCGTCGCTGGTGCATGCTTTTCAGGAAAAAGTCCACGCCGATTTTTAATTCATATTAGGCCCCATGCCTATATTCTCAGGGAATACCAATGATAATATATAAGGTGCTCTACCAGTGGAGATATTAGGCTATATGTAGGGTGGGTATCTGAAAGAAGCATCAATTGACCCCAAATGACCTCGATAGTTTGTAACCATAGCAACGAAATTATGATAAAATTTTCTGTTGTTATAAAGATTATTTATCAATCTTTCAAATATAGTAAAGGTCGAAGTAATGTACAGAACAAATCATGTGCATTTTGTAGAGCAAATTTGAGAGAAAATGCATCACTCACACAGCTGAAAAGTTAAACAGACTCTCCGCGTGAGGGTTAAATATGCATGGGGCTGTATCTCGGTAAAAACGCAACGCATTTACCTTTACTATTTCACACATTTAATAAAGTCATAAAGATGATTCACTGTGAGTAATATGAGTGTATTCTGTGAGAACCCAACCTTGCCACTTTCTGGCTGATTTGTCTGGTGGTTAGAAAAACTTGCACTTAATAACTAGTATGGAAACAAATAGTACAATTTCCATCTGTGGGGTTGCAAATAGGCGAAAATTTTGATTTAGCCAAAATACGCTCCGAAGAATTTGATTCAAAATTATGTTAGCCAAAAGAGGTGCGCAGCGAAGCGCAAAGCCAAAATGATTCCTCAAGCTAAACACAGAGAATTGGAATTTAATATGGAATATTTTAGTTTACAGGTCCAGGAAAAGATGTATTATAAATTATGTATCGTAAGTAATAACCAAGACACCTTCCATACATTGTTGAAAATTAGGAGAAATTTTCCATATAATAATTGTTTGGTTTACAGGGAAGTTCTCAGAATGTCTCTTCCCAGAATACAGGTCATGGCACTGGACGAAGTCCAGAGAGATCCTTATGGCCAGTGAGGAGGCAGACACCCCAAAGACCAAAACAGAATGTAATTCTCCAAGGACACACAGGTAGTATATCGGGGGTCGAGGTCCATAAAGATCCATTTTCAGGCTCCGTACCTTTTACTGTTCCTTATTTGTTGTATCAGAGACTGTTAAGACGTATAAAGTTAGAAGGCAATATGTGCGTGTGTTGTTTTCGAAAAGAGAAAGAGAGATAGAGACTGAAACATTTTCGTTTGTCTTTTACGAAAGGTTTTTCAGGGAATATCGCGAGTAGTGAAAGTCAGAATATTATGGGCACTAAAATGCAAAACCGAGCAATTTTCTGACTATACATATATGGTTTCAATAGGCACTGTATATCTCGATTGATAACAGCACATATGGTACTGAAAATAGCATTAATCTTACGAAATTAATGAGATGGAACAATATGACAGCAAGTGGCTCATCTTATCTACTTAAACAACGCTGCAATGCTGTTTAAAAATGGCCACTGACAACGCCCACATATGACACTGAGGTAAGAGATAACATACCGTCTGTTCAACCATGCATTCCCACAACGTAATCAGAAATTATCTCACTGTGGCGTTTTTCTTCACTGTCGGATGAAGTGTTTCTCAACTTCAATGACTTAGTAACAGGTGTGTGAGAAGCCTTTCGCATATAAATGTTTTGGGGAGGTGTGTGTTCATTTTAAAGTTGCAACATTTTTGCAGACATTTTCTATTTAGGCCTATTTATTTATTTTTGGAAGGATGTCCATAAAAATTGTCCCACTTCTCACGTTTTAATTCTTCTAACCAAAACTAGTCTTTTAAACCGTGCACCTACCAAACATTACTATCAAGTTACCGCTATGGATATGGATAATCCTTGGTATCTTTACAAGAGCCTCCCACAGGTCGAAAGAAATATAGGGCCTACCTTGTCCAGGGCATGTTAATGTAGTGCCAGGGGCAGGTAGAACCGGCCGGGTAGCTCAGTAGGTAAGAGCACTTGCCCTGTAAGCGAGAGGTCCCGGGTTCGATTCCTGGTCTGGTCGGTGGTTTTTCTGCACTCACCCCAAATCGCTACATTAAGGTAGATCGGTCGTTACGTAATTTGACGATTTGCGCAATTTTAGCGCATCGTCAATCGTCTCTAACGACACTTCAGTCTGTTTTATCAATTTGAGGAAATAAAACAATTATCTATAAGATAAACATACATTATCAACTTGTCTGTAACTCTGTATGATCGATACAGATTTTCGACAACATTTGTCGACTATGATTCCATACGACAACTGTAGCACGTTCATAGACTTGCCCTTCAAGAAATCGTCGGAATAGCTCCTTTTCCAATTTGAATTGGCACTAGAAAAAGTATGACAGCTAAAGCTCACAAATTATGCACATAGGTGCTATATCATGTAAAGAATAAGTGTTGTAAATTCCAATCAAAGCGGCTGCGTACATTTTGAGGTAGAGCGCCTTGAATGTACTGCAAACCGTAGCTTAGATTTCGACGAAAACCGGAAGTGCGTCGTAACGCCACTCATTTGGACTTAGAGAAATTTGGACTGAGAAATATTTCGTAGCTTATACAAATGTTAAGAAAATGGCCACACAGCTTGAAGAAAATTCACTAAACAAAATTGAAACTGCGTTATATTATACAGAAAAAATTGTGCACTTCTGACCTCGACTTGTCATTGTCAGTGTAAACAAAGTGTACTGAACGCACCGCAAGCAAGCACGTGAATGCCGCATTTGATACTTTGTATCAGACGCTTCATTTTACTTGACAACACAGTATTTACGATGTCACGTTCATGTTATATTCATAAATAAATAACAACGGCAATGAACTATTTTCATATGCATGAGCATTTTCCTTATTACTCTCTTCAATAATTTGGTTGTAAAGTTAATGGCTTACACCTTCGCATCAGTATGACAAATCTGAAAATAGCTGAGTATACTCACTTCAACTGTTAAACATAATGAAAATTTTTAATGTACTTAGATGTCTCTCCACACACACAGACACAAATTAAAAAAAATAAAATAAAAAAAAATAACGATTTAGTGCATAAACACCCATTTTCCCATTTATTTGAATGGGGACTTCCGACTAGTGCGTCACACAGGGTGTAACGCACTTCAACTTGACGTAGTTCTCTTATTTGGTCGGTGACCCCCATTTTTTGGCGAAATTTAAATCCACTTGGATGCCTCTTTAGACAAAAAGTTTTTTTAAAAAATTCAAACTTTAGAAAAATTATAAAAATAACGTTTTGGTGAAAAACACCCATTTGCCCATTGATTTGAATGGGGACTAGTGCGATATGCAGGGTGTATCATATTTGGGCCTAGTTCTCTTATTTGGTCGGTGACCCCCAATTTTTTTTTTTTTTTTTTTTTTTTTTTTTTTTTTTTTTTTTTTTAAAATTTTTTGTTTATTGGGGTCTTTTTAAAAAAATTAAAAAAAATTTGAAAGTTGGAAATTTAAACCACATCTACCTTAAACACATT